ACACTGCAATTGAAAACCTATGGCTGGTTTGTGACCGCTGGGACTCTCCAACCTTGTAGAGTCCTACAACCTGGGCTGCTGTCCAAGCCCAAACATCTACACTCCAATTACACAGTCCCTTAGACCAAGCCCTGCAAGCAGATTCAGCTGGCACAGGCTAGCCGCAGGTTTTTAATGGCAGGGTAGACATACCTGCAGACAAAACTGTAGGAGTAGGCCCGGTTCCTGTCTGTATATACACTAAAACTTTCACAGAGATTATGCTTTAAAAACACCGAAACAGGTCTGTGAACACTCATGTTTTATATAAAACTGTTTCAGAAAGGTTGAATGCAGCCTAGAGTGAGCAGACTGGATTCCAACTTCTGAGACTGTGGAATTGCAGCCATTTAAACTACTTCTCACAAATCTGGCCAATTCAAAGATGACAAAAGGGTAATACCTGTACGTTGGTCAGAGAACTTGGACCTACTCAGTTAATAGCTATCCTTACTAAATCTTCCCTTCTGCCCCTTTGGCATAAAGTCGCTCATTTGGCACATCCACTGAATGCTAGATAAGTGCAAACTAAGCTATGTTGCTTCCATTTTATGACTGCTGTTTACGCTGCTGTTCTCCATGCTCAGTCTGTTCCTCAGAATTGGGTCCATAAACTGGCCTAGTTGCACTCATGCATTACAGTAGAGCATATGTTTTAACTTAACTTACTTTATAGATGCACTACGTGACCTGCATTATGATTGGTGCGGCAATTCTGAATTTGCTGACTTCGAGTCTATATATTCATGCAACCATAATGTGACACCTTTATAACTTTCTGTTCTGAATTTCCTTTTGCTCCTTCAGTGAACAGACCTAATCTAACTTTTATCTCTGGTCCCCCACATATGCCTGACTGAAGAGTTATCTACCCTTCTTACAATGGAGGGAAGTGCGGAGCTGTGCTGAACCTAATATTGACTTGAACCCCTAAATCAGGGGTCTCAAACTCAATTTACCTTAGGGTCAGTGCCAGTCCTCAAATCTTTCCAGTGGGCCATAATGTCACTGAAGATGGTGTTCAGAAAAGAAAATGTTTATATTGTATTTTTTATTTTGAATTTCATAGACCTGGTCTACACTGGGGGGCAACGGGGAGAAAGCGATCTAAGTTATACAACTTCAGCTATGTACTTAGATCTACTCACTGTGGTGTCTTCGCTACGGTGAGTTGACCGCTGCCGCTCCCTCATCGACTCTGCCTGCGCCTCTCGTGGTAGTGGAGTACAGGAGTCGACGGGAGAGCGCTCGGGGATCGATTTATCGCGTCTAGAATAGATGCGATAAATTGACCCCCGCTGGATCGATCGCTGCCCACCGATCCGGCGGGTAGTGTAGACATACTGTTAGAAATAATAAAACTGTCATTCAACTTTATACAATTCTTTGCCTGCCAGAGAGTTTAGTGTTTGCCAGACACCTGGCAACACTTCAGTTCTGTTAGTTTGTTGATGTTTGGCCTCAGTGTCTGAGCAGTTGAAACCTTCAGGATTGAAGCAAGGTGCGCAACAGATAGTTGTGTTCCATATTTTGACTTGTTTATATTAATTGTGGGGAAAAGTGATGCTGCCTCCATGGCTGACTCTGCCCGGCGACTAGTGATGGTATCTCTAGCCCTCTCCCCCAGCCAATGGGAGCTGCGGGGGGCAGCGCCTGCAGCAGACAGAGCCGGCAGTGTGGCTGCGTGCATCTCTCCTCCGCGGACCACAGTGGGGATGTTCTCGGGCCGCAGATGGCCCGCGGGCGTGTGACTTTGAGACCCCTGCCCTAAATTGTCCAAAGTGGGGATAAGGTGGTAGAAAGGTCACCCTGACCCATAAGTATATTATGTAAAATAGCTGAAAGAAAACACAGGGCAAAGCCAAAGGAATGATGTAAACTGAGCTCTTTCTGAACTAAAAACTGTTTACTAGGGGTTTTCAAGGGTCTTGCTGAGACTACAGAATTGTGAGTATCAGACCAAAAGGCCCCCTAGCTGTGGAATTGACTTTGCTCAGATGAGTAAGAATATGTGTACGGTTCACCAGATGCTTCCTTTGATGGGAGAAGGTGTCTACCCTTTTTGGACACTGCAATGATAGTTATATGGCTAGGCACTTTGCCAAGCATAAGCAGTTGCCAAGTGCCACCTATTTATTTTTATATTTAAAAAAAAAAGTCAACTGCCCATGTTAGAACTCGGGGATTTGCATTTGTGCCATTGGGCCTTCCCTTTTCTCATCCTCAAAGATCACCAGACAAAGGGAAACCAAATGACAAGAATGAGATGTGAAGCTCTTGCTACATCTCCACCACTTGTCATTCCCATTCACTTTCTTCTTCATGCCTTACTTCTTCTCTTTGCCTAACAAGAGCCCAGCTTAACCAGCCAGGAGAGGAAATAAAGAAAACTAATATTACAAACATTTTACACTTTTTTTTTTTTTAGTTTTTTAACCAGGTTTGTATGTTTAATAAATGTTCTCGTGCTAAGGCAAGGAGTTGTTTTAAACAAGCAAACCAAGACCTGGCAACAAATCCCCAAACCAAAAATATTATCCATTTTCTGCTGTGGCAAAAAAACTTCTCCAGTCCTTGTAACAGTGCCTGTGTGACACTCCCTGAGTACCTGACTACAAGCTTTTTACCTGTCCCTCAGGTCAGTTACCAAGTTACACAAGGTGCCTAGTGCCCACTCAGTCTGAGTTGTATCTGCTGATTTGCCAGCTTCCCTCTGCTATGAGTAACGTGTTCCTGATGTTAAACTGGTGACCATCTCTAGGAAAGGAACTTGCCTTCAGTGATAAAAAATATCTGCTTTGGTACCTTTGTGATAACTGGCGAAGACCCATCTGTCAAATATAGGGTGGCAGGGTGGGTGTTGCTTATGTCAATGTCTTGGTGGTCAAAAAAGAGAGAGAAATTCTAAATTTTTCGGAAAGTCAGAAGCATGTGAAAAGGGGGTGGGGGGTTAAAATATTTCCTTGACAGAAGGGATGCTTGTAATATAAGTGGGATGGGTTGTTTGTTTTTTCTTTTTAAAGAAGCTGGGGGTAAAGACAAATCTCCAATTTATTTTCTATGCTGTTTGAAAGTATACTCCTGTCTCTTCCTAGAAGCAGTGATGTCCTGCTGAAAAGTCATCCGCTGATTAACTAGAATTGAGATCAGTTCTTTCTGACACATCTTTCAGTCTCACACTTGCTTTGTCAGATGGCAGTCTGAAGGGAGGCAGCCTATATTTAACGAAGGCTTGTACGCCAAATGGGATAAAGAGGCTCATCTTATGGGAAAGCTTAAACTTTTCCAGCGCTCTTGGGGAAGTGTTCCTGTAAGAAGGGGAAACCTTGCAATAGACTGTTTGCCAATCACAAGGCAGAGACGAGGAGGAGAAATAAGGCTCTTAGATTAATGGATTATTTTGTTTACTCACCAGTTATATGGGAATGTCACATCATACCATCTGTTCTCCTGTCTACCTTTAAAAGTACATAAAAATTGAAGTGAAGTTTTGCCAATTTTCTCCTGTATTCCATCTAGTCCCACTCATGTGCCTACTCTCCAGTGCTAGCAGATGTGTAAGTGGAGCTTCAGGTTGCAGGTTTAAACCAAAGATCTTTATTCACCCCACTCTCCAGGACACTAGGTGCTGAGAGCACAGCTAAAAAGGTAGAATTACAAGGTTCAATGTCTGGGCAGAAAGGAGAACAGCAAAGGTGAAAAGCAGGAACTGTAGTATTTTTTTAGGTAATGTTACATAAGAGTAAAGATCATGCATGTTCTAGGACTGACAAGATCTTTCATATATTCCCTGCCTCTCCACGTTTTAAGCCTTTTATGACTAAATGTATTTTATTTTATAGGCATTTTAAAGCACTTGTATAAGCATTTCTCAAATGTTAATTGTTTTTCAACAATCATTATTACCCCCATATTATAGATGGAGAAACTGAAGGACACACATGGTAAGTCTGATTTTTTTTTTTTTTTTTTTTTAGGAATGGTGGGTTCCCAGTGATTTCATTTGGAGTCACTGACTAACTTGTCCAAGACAACACAAGGAACCTGTGGCAGAACTGGGAATAGGCCCAGATCTTTTGATCTTAACAGCAAAAATGCCCTGTATTCCCTTTTTGAAATACAAGGATTTACACTGGGTTGCAAAACAAATTGTTGAACACCAAGAACAACTTCAGAATATGCTAAAAATTAGGAATAGTTGTATTTCTCAGTACTTTCACGGGAAACTTTTTAAATTGATTTCCATTTTCCCTCTTGTATTTTTCAGGAGCTAGCAATGCTCAATCAAAAATCAGAATGTTTCAGGAAAGCTGGATTCTTGAGTGAATAGCCACAAATTTTCTCCGTTCTTATTTGTGGAAAGTTCCCATGTTGCCCACCATAACGCCTTAGCCATTATCAGTTGGCCTTGTAGAAGAAATGCATCTTGACAACTGATTTGAAGGAGTACACGGTAGCCTCTTCACAGATTGCCTCAACTAAGGGCATTCTTTGCATGGGAGTGGTACAAAGGTGAATCAGACAACTGAGCAGTGGAGACTGGCATTTCTAATGGACTACAGGGGGCTGGGGTGATGAAGTAAGATGCAGAAGCAGATAAGCGTATTCTCAGGGGAGTGGGGTGTGCTAACTTTAGCCTTGATGGAACTCTGAGTGATGTGGTCAAAGCTACAGGCCAGAAAAATTGTCTTAGTAGAACTTAGTAGAACTTACCTGAGGGGGTAAGATGAGTGTCAGGAGGCCAATGAGGAGCAGCTTGGAGCGGTCAAGATGAGCATTAAGGGCCTCTATGAGTTTTTGGCTAGGAGGATAGGGAAGGCTGGGTCCTGGAAATATTGTGGAATAAGTAAATGCAAGATTTATGCAAGGTCTAGTAAAGAGAGTCCGATGTCACCATGGTTACAAGCCTGAGCGTCTGGGAGGATGGTGTTAGTACTAATGGAGAAGAGGAGAGAAAAGAATAAGAGCTGAATTTTGGCCATATTGAATTTACTCCATGGCAGGACATAAATGAGGAGATGGCAAAGCAAGGCCAGGTTACAGGATTGGATGGAGGGAGACGGAGCAGAAGTACATAAGTAAATTTGTGAGTCAAGGGCATAAAGGTATTTAAAACTATGGAAGTGGACAAAGGTGGTGGGGAGGATGGAGGAGAGGAGGGAGCTCTGTAAGACTCCTACTAAGGCCACGTCTACACTACCCGCCGGATCGGTGGGTAGTGATAGATCTATCGGGGATCGATTTATCGCGTCTAGTGTAGACGCGATAAATCAATCTCCGATCACTCTGCCGTCGACTCCGGAACTCCACCTTGGCTAGAGGTGGAAGTGGAGTCGACAGGGGAGCGGCAGCCGTCGATCCCACACCGCGAAGACGCAAAGTAAGTGATTCTAAGTTGATCTAAGATACGTCGACTTCAGCTACGTCGCATTCAGCTTCAGCTACCTTCAGCTACGAAGTTGCGTATCTTAAATCGATTTCACACACACACACTCCCTCCCAGTGTAGACCAGGCCTAAAAGGGAGAGAGGACGACTTTTGAGCTGCTGAAGGAACTTGCAGTATATGTATGGGCTAATATTCCTTTTTTAGTTGTTTGTGAGCCCTCTGGAGACCCTGACTTCCTTCTGTGTTTAAGAAGTCACCAGAACTCCATCAGAGCAGCTGTGTGTATGTGTGGGTAAGCCGTGCATGTTGTCTACAGTTTGTAAACATGGTTATTTGAATACCTCTGTGCCTGTGGTTCAGTTGCTGTGTAAAGAGCAAAGTTACAATAAAACTGTCTGAGGTTGGAGAGGACAAATTTGTGAAAGCCAAGGGAGGACCAGAAGCTGGTCAGCTGCATCAAAAGTAGCCAAGAAGCTTGAGGATGGAGAACAGGCCCTGGAATTTAGCCAAGAAAAGGTCATTAGACTTTAGTGAGAGCAAGTTGTGTTGAGGAGAGGGTCTAGGGTGGTGGTAGAGGAGAGGAACTCAAGACAGCAGGTGTGCATGTGGCCTCCAATTAACTTCAAAGCAGAAGGGAGACTGGGCTGTATTGGCAGGTGACATCAAGTTCCATTTTTATGAAGGGAAAATGAGAGCATGCTTGCCCCTGTGAGGGAGAGAAACCCTGAGGAGAGTGGTAGTTTGAGAAAGGTAAAGGAGGGGTGGTTGGGGGGAAGGGCAAAGGAGATCAAAAGGTGGGGTGGGGTCACTGGGGCAGGCAAAGTGAGTGCTGTGGAAAAAGAGGTCCCATTGTCCTTCTGTCAAACTTTATTTGAAAAAGTCATTAAGATCCTGTATGAAAAGGAATGGAGAGAATAGGAAGCAGTGAGGGTTATAGGAAAGAGTTAAATGTAGTGGATAATCAGGCGAGGACGGAGGGTGTGGGATTCAGTTTGGATGTAGAAGAAGTGCAGATTGGTTTGGAAGACAGCAAAACTGAGAGGATAGTGCAAACTTGCAGTGAAGGAAGCGTGTGTAGTCACTGACTTTTTTTTTTCTCCTTGGGCACTCCAACAGTGTGAGAGCATAAACAGAGGAAGTGAGTGCTGAGGTGAGGGAGGATTGGAGGTTGGCTGAACCTTGAGGTAGAAGAGGGGCAGAAGTTTTAGAGAGCACAGAGTGAAGAGTCATCAGCTGAGTGGGCAGAAGAGTTGAGGGGTTTGTGGGCCTGCATGGCTGAAGAGCGTTGACTATTAATGAATTGGCAGTCATTGGAGGACTTTGTGGTGGGGTGAGAATGTGGGCAACACTGAAAAAGAAGATAGTGGTCAGAGAGGGGGAGATCTGAAATTGAGGTACCAGAGGGGAGTTCAGCGTAGATGAGGATGAGTGAGTGACCATCATGGTAAGTGGGAAATGTGCAATCTGGAGCTTAATAAGGTCAAACAAAGATACCAGGGAAAGGACAGAAAGTGTGTGAAGGTCACTGACATGGAAGGTGATGTCTCTAAAGAAGAGGATGAGGGATTGTGATGAGGGGAGGGAGTCAGAAGAAGATGGAAAAGGAGGAATCAAACCCATACATTTTCTGTAGTCCTCACTCAATTAGTCCCATTGACTTCACTGGGAAATATATGTGTGTGTTTCCTAATATAATTCCTAATATAAACTGTACAGCTGTAAAGCCACCAAATTTTCTTCCTCTAAACAAAGTTTCCAGCCAATTAAGCAATGTTTGTCTTTAGATAAAGATTTGTTTCTGTGTCTTATTTACCATCCCAATCACTGCCAAACTAGACTCTTGCTTATTTAAGGACTGACTTTTTGGTGCTCTTTATCATATATGAATTGTTCTTTTGCACACATAAGATAATAAGGAAAACTTGAAATATAAAACTTAGTTTGTCTCCAATGTGTTTTTATCGTGATATGTCAGCAAAGCGGATGGAGGAAAGGCTATGACCTCTTTAATTTTATAACTGAGGGAACAGTTACTTAAACTGATGATCCAAAATGATGTTAAGGTTGGCTTGACTTACTTGATCGTCCTCTATCACCATAAACAAAGAATGCTAGACGTATTTTTTTTTAAACAACCTGAATTCCCAACACCTGGTATCCAGCTGCTTTTAGTCTTGGAAATCAGCTTTTGAGTATAACCCAAACATCTTTCCAGTAAGGCTCAGATCCTTGTTAGTGTTAATTATCTTACCGATTTATGTTCAACCGTCTGTTTAAGAACGGATTAACAATTGCAACCAGAAGTAATTAGTAGCAAGTTTTCAGAAATTCTCACTCCAAGCAGTGTGCGAAGAAGGTTTTTTTCTAATGAGTAATTTCTTGGCACAGGATAGAGATGAAGTGGGATGGGAGGGGGGGGTGCTGTCTGGAATGCTTTTTCGTGAGCATAACTATTCCAACACAGGGCATGGATGCTCTGAGGTCACACAAAATTGTCAAGCCAAAATAGCTCCCAAGTGTTTTGTAAGACTGCCTTCGTAAATTCAGCAGCTCAGAAACTCAAGCATAGTAATTGCTAGCTAGTGCATACAGTAATGCACTTCACAACTGTGCATGTTTATATGAAACTAGCTCAAGTTACCTGCCGCCACTCTTTCCCTGACTGCAGTGTTGGAGCAATTAATGCCTGATCTTGTAATTCTTATTCATGCAAGTAGTCAATCTATTCCAGTGGGGAAGGGGAGAAGGTGGAATACAGTGGGGGAAAACCTCATGTTGTACGTTGGGGGGGGGGGAGGGGGGACTAAGCATCAGCCTTGCGCAGTCCACCCTATCCCTTTTGATCGGTCACAATGAGTGGTGTGGTAAACTACTACATAAATGTTCATAAGTGCAGGTCAGAGGCCAGCACTGTGGCCTTTTCAACTGCTAGGCCCTCTTTGTGTATGCACCTTGTGGGGGCTCAATAAGCTCTTGGCCCTACAGGGGGTGTCCAGTAGGCTGGCAGAAGGAGTTTAAACACCTGATGTACAAAGTCTTAGTTATCTGTATAAGTTAATTTGTCTTTTCATACTTGGCATTCTCTTTTTTGGGGAGGATTGGGATAGCTATTTATGTCAAATCTGGAAGTTCTTATTCAGCTACTCTGGAGTCACTAGTGAGCAAAACTATTAGTGAGCAAAACTATATATTCTTTTGACTTAAAATTACTTTCATTATCCCGTAACTAAATAACTGAGTGCATTGTCCTCAGAACTGTGTGAGTACTTCCAAGTCTGAGACACAGCATAGCAGACAGATTGCTCCTTCTCCCCTCCCCCTAAAAAGTGAGGAGTGGAGCTGGGAGACTGCTTTCCTTGAAGATTCTAGCAAATGTATTTGCTGTCAGGAATCTTTACCAAAGCCAGATGGTTTTAAGTGACTGTGACAAAATATGACTGCAAACCTGTAAAGTTAAGTGTTCATACCAGAAACCTGATTCTTAGTTTATCTTTGAGGAACAAAGATACCATAATATGTAATGTCCACAACACTTGGGATTACAAACATTGGACACTTGCAGTGAACTGCTTGCGGAAGGCCAGACTCTGCCACCCTTACTCGTGCTGAGGTGTATTTTAGTCCATTATTAGTCCCATAAAAATCAATATAACTGGGGAGTACCTCAGTCCAAAAATAATGTGAATCAGGGTGGCAAAATTTCTTATAGGGAAGCCACAGACTAAGAACTTTTTACAGAAATTATTTTACACACACACACCCCACCTTCAACACCTGAACACTTTGAACAGGAAGCAAGTATGATGACAACAAAAAGTGAAATTAAATAACAGATTATTCACCCAGCTTTTATATACATAACTTTTTATTTGCCTCCTAATTATGAGTATTTTATAAGGGGGTTCTAATGGAAGTCTGAGTGTAACCTTAATTAAAGCTTTCACTAAAGGAAAAGCTATTGTCATGCTTTTATAAAATACAATTTGTTTTTCTGTTTGTTCTATGTTATGAAGTACATAGGGCCAATTTCTCTTAGGGGATATCTACACTCCAGAGGTAACTTGGGTGACTGGAGCCTGGGTGTGAGCAGCCACACAACTCTGGTAGAATTTTGCCATGTGTCCTCACTGGGTATGTCTACAGAGCAGCTGGGAGCGAGCCTCCCTGCCTGGGTGGGTAGATTCACACTAGCTGGGCTCAGGCTAGCGCTCTAAAAATAGCAGTGGGGATGTTGCCGCTTGGGTGACCCCATGGGCTCTTGAGGGGCCAACGGGTCTGAGCTCAGAAGGTTAGCCCAAGTCTCCACCAGAGCCGCAATGTCCACACTGTTATTTTTAGGGTGTTAGCTGGAGCCCAGCCAATGTGAATCTGCCAGTGCAGGCTGGGAGGCGTGCTTCCGGCTGCAGTGTAGACAGAGTTGCACTCCCCCATGTGTTATGGCTTTATGAGACGTATCCCATTGTTCTTTGTGCTGCAGTAAACGGAGCCACTCTGATTCGTTCCCAGTGACTTTTGAGAGAATTTCTGTCCTCCTTGGCACACATGGGAGTTGTGGGAAGACTTTGAACTGCTATCAGCAGTTGAGTTGTTTAGCTGTGCCCTCATTGCACAGTGGGTCACCAACCCAATAGAGGCCTCATTTGGGCTTTAGTCTACAGTTCTAGACAAATCAACTAGTCTGTATTGAAAGTGCCGATG